GAACCGGTACTCCGTCTCGACCACCCGTGCATGGCCAGTTGTGGTCGTTGCAAGTATCTGTCGTCCCGTTGCATGTGCGGTTTCCGGTACCGGAGCAATGATGGGTCATCGTGGTTCGAAGACGACTGTCGAGTAGAAAGATGACTATTGAGTAGAAAGCTGCCAGTGGGGAGACACTTGTCATAGTGGAGGACAATGCCTTGCTGGCAGCAGCAACTCATTTGACCATGGTGCATGCTTCGCCGCATTAATGTTCCACCATAGTTGGTATGGTCAGAGAACCTCAGACATTTCAACATGTGATTGACGCAGCAGCCACCCACGGCAAAATATCACCCCGCCCTTCGAGTGCACAAAGGTATGACGGCATACATGAGAACAAGGAGAGGGCAGAGTTGCGCGCGTATTTCCGGGTGACACTGCACCGGATCAATCCGGCTCTGTTTAAGGCGTATTGGGTAGGTGTCGAGATGCGCGCTATTCGACTCGCACTCGCAGCGCCCTATCCGAGCAACACGGAAATCTGGCTCGAAAACTATAGCAAATTCACCTCGACCGCAGCTCGTGAGGGCAAGTGGTGGCGCGTGAACAACTTGGAAGTTATGACCCCCAAGGAGCTGGAGGGCTGGGGCGCTCAGGAATGGAAGACGGTTCAGAGGGAACTCTTGGAAGAACGTTATGGGCAGACAACCGCTGAACATACAGCCTGAAGCAGCGCAGTACATATAACAGTCCAAACCAGTTCGACACGCACCCTCCTTCTCCCTACCCTCCGCGATACGCTTGAGCAAGGGGAGAGAGAGAAGAACAGGTGGCGAGCAGTCTGGCGTTGACGAAGTACGGGGAGACCCTCCGGTAGATCACCTGGCGAAGGGAACGTCAGAGGGAGAGGGAGATGATGCATGGACGATGGGGAGCCGCTAGTCGGCCATATCGACTCTGTGACCTCCGTCGCCTTCTCTGGCGACAGCAAACGCATCGCGTCCGTATCTGACGAGGGCACAGTGAGGGTGTGGAATACGGAGACAAGACAGATGATGGGGGAGCTGCTGATCGGTCACACGAGTTTTGTCACGGCTGTTGCCTTCTTCGGAACAGCCAGGGCCTTCTGTCCGGATCCTATGACCGTACAGTGAGGGTGTGGAATGTGGAGACTAAGGAGGACTGGCGAGGTGGACCACCTATCCAATAGCTCATATCGGAACCTTGTTTGGGCCTCTCGACACATTCCGAGCATAACATTGATACGGAGCTCTCCAAATCGACTCGAAAGCGGCACATGCCAAATCATCACCTGGGCGTTCCTCGAGCCCATCACTGGACGAATCTGGCTGATTGCAGGACACGGCGGCAATTGATTCACTGGCTGATCATCCCACGCCGATCGTCTCAACAAGTGAAGTTATAGACGGAGAAGAAGGCTTTGACCCCGATGATTCCGAACCCCAAGTCTGCATCCTAGGAAGCAGTAGGTTGTCTCCATTTGAGCGGCATGGCATGACACAGCCCTACATTCCCCCGCCGAATGCCAAAAGAGCTATTTGGTTTAACCCCCGCACGGGGTGGATCGTGGGAAATAAGAGGGACTTTCTGTTTTGGGTCCCTCTACAGATACTGCCCCGATTGTCTAGTCATCATCTGGTTCGGGTTATTCGTGGCCCAACCTATGAGGTTGATCTGAGCCGGTTTGTCCACGGTACACAATGGACAGAGTGCTACAGACCTAGCACTAGCTAGTTACTTGTTGAACATGACCGGGAACAAGGCCTTTTGATAATTTGATCACAAGTTACTAGTAGAAATTATGTGACAATGCACTGCCGGCTCGGGCAGTGGCAGTGAGGGCTCGGTGTTCTAAAATAATTGTCGGTGCTTGAGTAATCAGGGTATGACGTCCTCTGTTCATTCAGCAAACAGCAGCACAGAGGGGCGAGTCACGGGGAAAAGAGGGATGAATGCACTTTTATGTTCTCCTGCTTTTCTTCCCCCGACGTTCACAAGAAGCGACAACTTGACTTCCCTTTTGAAGAGAGCAACTACTGAGGTTCAAAGAGTCACACCAACAGCGTCGTTTGCCGTCTCCGGACCCGAATCTTCCAAATCTGTTTGCCAACATCGACAACAACTAGAGGAATGACATTCCAAACACCCGGTTCGACAACGACGATAGTGCAGCCCCCTTTGCTGGCACACATATCCCCCGTTTTATCGCATCAGCATCCCTCTGAACCCCAACCTTCTCTCACACCGCAGATGTCCCAGACCTCGCCAATGTCCATCATGATGGGGAAGGCGAACGGCGACCCATCTGGAAAACGCCGGGGGAAGAGCTTCATGGAGCGAATCAGGCATTTCACACCGAGTTGGTTCGCCGTGACCATGGGTAAGTTCTCCCTCCATCGTGCGGTACGAGTGGCTGACCAATCTTACAGGCACCGGGGTGCTCCCCGTCGTCTTCCACCAGCTGCCGTACGGTCTCGCCCAGCACTTGTACTGGCCATGCGTCGCCCTCCTGGGACTGAACGTCGTTCTTCTTTTCCTGTTCACCATCGCTACCGTCTTGCGGTACATCTTCTTCCCCGGAATCTTCAGACTCATGCTTCTTCACCCTCAGCAATCGCTCTTCCTCGGTACGATCCCGATGGGCTTCGCGACGGCCATCAACGCGGCTACGAGTTTGTTGGTGGAGACGAAGGGCTGGGGCGGGGACGGACTGCTTGATTTCTTGTGGGGGATGTACTGGTTCGACTTTGCCCTGAGCGCCGTAGTCTGCGTAGGGATGATCCACGTCGTGTACGTCTTGCTCTTCCCTCCTGACCCCAGCAGCAGCTAACAACCACCTCCAGGTCGACGAAGCACCCGCTCACCCTCGACCAAATCACCGCAACCATCCTTCTCCCCTTCGTCCCGCCCATCGTCGCTGCCGCCCTAGGCGCACAACTCGGCACCGCACTGGCAGAGACACACCCCGGCCGTGCCCAGCTCACGCTGTTCGTCTCCTACGCCTCGCTAGGTCTCGGCCTGCCAACAGCGATGCTCCTGCTCTCCGCGTACACTGTTCGGCTCGTATTGCAGGGTGCTCCTCCCCGGGGTGCGTTGACATCCGTCGTGCTCCCTCTCGGGCCGCTCGGGCAGGGCGGACTGGCGTTCATCTCCCTCGGCGAGCTAGCACAGAAGATCGTCACCCTCCAAGACCTGGAGACGTCGACCATCCCCACAAACAGCATCTTCGGCGTAGGCGTCATGGGCGACTTTGCATTCATATACGGCGTGGTGAGCGGGATGCTGCTCTGGGGGTTCGGGCTGTGTTGGTTGTGCCTCGCGTTGGAGACATTCGGGGAAGCCATCTTCAGGAAACAAGGGCCAAAGTTCGGGATGCCCTGGTGGGGCCTGACTTTCCCCCTCGGAGTATACACGCTCCTGACGCTGAGCCTGTCTGTCGCCCTCGCTCCTACGCCCATCTCCTTCTTCCTCGAAGCGCTCGGCTCTGCGCTGGCAGCGACGCTCTTCCTCATCTGGCTCTACGTGGCCATGCGCACACTCATATTGGGTATCGAGGGGAGCATGTTCGACGCTCCTTGTCTGCAGAATCTGGAGGAATTGCCGATGCTGGCTGCTGATGGGCCAGGTCCTGAGGAAGAGGAAATCGAGATGGAGGCAAGAAGTTGGAGGGATGGGAGCGTGAGGACTATGGCGGAGTAGGCTTAGTTAACGGTGCAGGGGGTTGTAGGATGGGATAGAGAGAGGAAGAGAGAGGTAAAAGCGAGGTGAAATGTGTAAGCAGTTAGGAGTATTACGCCATCTTGTGCGGTATTGCGACATCGATGAAGTGAAGTTCGCAAATAGAGTGGAAAGTGAAGCATTTTTTTGTTATTTTCTATAGTGGTCTACCGTACACTATGCGCTAGTTATGCTGAGCAGGTTATGATGGAGGAGGAGGAAGAACGAGGGGGATGGGGGGGATTGGTGGAGCAGAGGGAGGAAGAGCAGGGAGTAGCAACGTCGAGGAGAGGAAGCAACCTGAGCGGCGTCATCTATTTCAGGGATGCTTTCATAGAGAGAAGGCTGATTGAGCCCTTTCAGATTCATCTAATGGAGGCGCTCAAGGAGGCCGGTCAATCGGGATAGTTCTCCCGGTCGATGTGAGTACCAAACCACTCACCTTATTTGTTCTCATTGACCATAGGACAGGGGACATTCATTGTTGGTGAGAAAATCTTCTCAGAGTCTATGTACACGGGAGCAAGCGGAGTTCGGATCTGACCAATCTTCAAAGACCACAACCGGCGGAGTTCCATGTATCACAAGGCGGAATGTGCTTCCGGTGGGAAGACGGACCGCGGGAGCTGATGAGCCAATAGGCGTTGCGCTGTGGGGCTCGGAAGCAAGCGGCATGAGATGCACTGCCATGTCCGGGAATGCGGAGTTGTAACTGTCAAGGAAGAAAGTGAGGTGAAATGGCTTGAACTGAACGATTCTGTCTTTGTCCGCTTGTTCTCTTTGGTCCGATCTAGTCTCTGTCTCTAGTCTCTGTTGTCAATGTCTGGGAAGAACAGGATCGCACCCTAGAATCTCTCTTGCACCCGCGGTGGCAAGATCACAAACCGTGCGAGGCGGGTCGACACATCCCATTCGCTTGCTCTGCTTTTTAACTGAGTTCAAATTTCAGTCTCCTCTCCAAAGGCTTGCCTCTTTCTGGAAAATCCACCGACCGAAACATGCCATTGCAAGGGCAGTAGTTTGCTTCTCCGGCTCTGTATCATCGCTTGAGACAACCAATCCCCTCGGTGCTTCACACGGCCCTGCATCCTCTCATCCAACTACGCTCCGACCTCGACGCGATTGGCACGGCTCCCCGACGGCTGCTTGCTACGCAGGGAAATACGGAAAGCACGGATCACGGAAACCGCACTTTCTCGCCCTTTGCCCGACTTTGCCGTTGCGAGCCGACTGGTCCAGTTTGTACCTTCTCCAAGCTAGTCGAACGCCTTGCGGGCACTTTGGTCTCTCGCAAATTCTCAGAGCACAACCTTGGATACATCTAGTTCTGAGGTACCGTTCCTCCCTGTCTCATGTCGCACCCCCTGGCTGTTCAATATACTCTTTCTGGAATAATGGAATTCATCCCACATGCCCGCAAGAAGCGTACTTGAACGCCCCGTCCTGCGTTCACCCCCAAGCTCGTGTGCAAATCTCTCTTCCCCTGATCCGTATTCGCACACAGCCCGCTCCACTCTCCCCGTACCTGCCAGCCTCATATATCCCCTCCTTCGTACCTGACGCCCTCTTCCCTTCTTTCCCCTCCCGCTTCTCTTGCTCGTTCCCCCGTGCAAGTCCCCTTTCCCACCTCTTCCATCTCTTCCCTCTCACTTCCCCTGGCTCTCAGCATGGACGACCCAGTGAAAGACAGCTACGACCTCGAGTCCATCGGCGGGGACAGCTCGACCGTCGTCTCCCAACCCTTGCCGCGTCATGCGCACTCCTACTCCCGCACCCGTACAGAGGGGCACATCCACCTTCCCCCCGGTGTGGGCATAGACCTTCACCGCCCTCCTACGCGTGGTGCGCCCAACACCACGAGTCGCGTGCCGATAGAGTTCCGCACTCTTAGCATCCAGATCGAGGAGACGCGTCAGTCTGAAGCTCGCACGGGGGAAAAGGAAACGCGCGGTCCTGCCGTTGTCAAAGGCTAGCATGTCTACCACTCATCCTCATCCCAACTAACGCACCTTGCAGAGCTGCTTGATCTCGACTGGCACATCCTCCCAGCAGAAGACGTCCTCCAGCGGCTCTCTACTTCTCAGCAAGTCGGCCTCGACCAGTCCCAAGCAGCTCGGCGTCTCCAGCAACATGGGAAGAACGTCATCTCCCCTCCTCCGTCCAATCTGCTCCTCAAGATCATCGGCTACTTCTTCGGAGGATTCGGAAGCCTGCTCTTCGTCGCTAGTATAATTTGTTTCCTCGCCTGGAAGCCACTTGGATTCCCGGATCCTCAGGCGAGCAACCTCGCTCTTGCGGTGGTCCTGCTCATCGTCGTCCTCATCCAAGCTGTATGTCCAACCAACTTCTCTCCAATGAACCGCCCACTGATCACGTGGAACAGGCCTTCAACGCCTGGCAAGACTTTTCAACCTCGCGTACTATGGCTAGTATCACGAACATGCTGCCTGCCGACGTGTCGATCATCCGTGATGGCCAGCAGCGCACTATTCCGGCGCCTCAGCTCGTGCCGGGTGATATTGTCAACATCTCCTTGGGTCAGAAGCTGCCTGCGGATATGAGGGTATACTCTACCTTCATCTGTGAAACCAGAGACTGATAAGGGACAGCTGCTTGACGTATCCGGTGATTTGAGGTTCGACCGTGCCGTCCTGACTGGGGAGAGTATCCCTGTTGCCGCTACAGTAGAGAAGACGGACGAGAACTTCCTGGAGAGTAAGCCCGCACACTTCCATTAGACCTCAGGCCTGATGCGCTTCCTACAGCTAAGAACATTGCCCTCCAAGGCACGCTCTGTGTTGCCGGGTCAGGCTTGGGCGTCGTCATCCAGACTGGCGACTTGACCGTCTTCGGCCGCATCGCGAAACTTTCAAACAAGTCCGCGACGCATATGCCTACACTTGTAATCGAGATCCTTCGTTTTGTCCTTCTGATTGCTAGCATGGCCATTGGGGTTGCTGTCATCATCGTATGTCGCCTCCCTGGTTGTAGTGTACCAGGATTCACATGTTGCAGGTCATCCTTTGGGGCGCATGGTTGCACAAGGCACAGCCCAACTTGTGAGTCCACTGATGGCTGACCATCGCTCATGCTGATTTTGATGGGGTAGCATCAACGTGCCCACCCTGCTCATTGATGTCGTCTCGGTCTGCGTTGCCTTCATCCCCGAGGGTCTGCCTGTCTGCGTCACTCTATCCCTCGCTAGGACTGCGCAAGTTCTGTCGCAGAACAAGGTAAGCTCCATTATCTCTATATGGGGTGCCCAGTCTAACGCAAACGCAGATTCTCTGTAAAACATTGTCGACAGTTGAGACGCTTGGCGCCGTCAACGTCATCTGCTCCGACAAGACGGGCACCCTAACCGAGAACCGGATGACAGTAGAACACTGCTACACGCTAGATGATGAGTTTACCACTCCCGAAGCACGTGATAAGATCGTCAAAGGAGGCATACCGGGCGAGGTTGTACGCGTGCTGCAGACAATTGGTGCAATGTGCAATGCTGCCAAATTTGTGGCCGATGAGAAGACTGTTACCGGACATGGCAAGATTGCTGGAGACGCGACCGATACTGCTATCCTTCAATTTGGTATGCTTGATGCTTGTTTAATCGATCATTGAGCAAACGTCTGATCCTCGACTGTAGCTGAGAGCCTTTCGTCAGCGGAAGACATTCGAGCGCAGTATACGGAGATCTATAGGCAATCCTTTAGCGTGCGTGTGTTCGGAACAGCACTGAAACATACTCACGTCCTCTATCGATAGTCAAAGACCAAGTACATGCTAAAGCTCGTTTCTGAGACCGCCAGCAAAGGCAATAGCGAATGCACGATGTTCATCAAGGGTGCTCCTGATGTGCTGTGGGAAAGGTGCGGCCACTGCTTCGCCTCTACTACTGGCAACAGTGTGCCGCTTGACCGCGAGTCGATGGCCAAGCTTGTGGCAGTCCAAGAGCACTGGGCATCCCAGGGTCAGCGGGTCCTGCTGCTTGCACGCAAGAAGATCTCGCTAGAGCTGCTTCCTAAAGATGGTAGGATATATTCGACCCTCGATCCTGAGCCCATACAAACTAACATGGACAACAGCGGCGAAGGGCACTCCTTTGTATGATCAGGTAATTGGTGATTTGGCCTACGACCTGGAAATTGTCGGCTTGGTATGTTCCTACGATCATGTTGCCCTGCGAGATGCTGACTGTGCATGTCAGCTTGGAATCGTGGACCCCCCTCGGGCCGATATTCCTGAAACAGTCCGTGTTTGCCGCAGTGCTGGGATTCGTTTCTTCATCGTGACTGGAGACCATCCCAATACTGCTGTTACGATTGCAGCCAAGTGCGGGATTGTGACTCACCCTGAGAAAATTCATCAGTAGGATTAGATCACACTTCTTTAACGAGTCGTTGCTGAACGAACTGTAGCTTCTCCGATCTCGATCCCACTATGGACACCACTGATATTGCACATTTCACCTTCGACAACGAAAACCGCGAAGTGAACGCCGTGGTTCTTGATGGGTCCGACCTTACCAAAATGACGACTGCCCAATGGGATCAGGTCTGTCAGTACGAAGAGATTGTATTTGCCCGTACCTCTCCTGAGCAGAAGCTTCGCATCGTCACTGAGATGCAGTCTCACGGGAATATCGTCGGCATGACCGGAGATGGCGTGAACGATGCACCCTCTCTCAAGGCAGCTAATATGGGTATTGGTACGCACCATTGTAGTTCTCTCTCTCAACGCTCTCTGATGTGTCGAAAGCGATGGGTTCTGGCAGTGATGTCGCCATGGAAGCGTCAGACATGGTCCTTCTTGGTCCATTTTCTACGATCGTTGTTGCAATCCAGTACGGTCGCCTTGTCTTCGACAATCTTAAGAAGACGTATGTGCTATTCATCTTTCTTCATTGGAAGTGGCTCATTTCCTCGAAGCGTGCTCTACCTGCTTCCCGCTGGTTCATTCTCTGAGCTCATGCCTGTCATCTTCAACGTGCTGTTCGGCTTGCCTCAGATTCTCTCCAACCTACAAATGATTATCATTTGCGTCGGCACAGACGTTCTTCCCGCGTTGTCGCTCGTCATGGAGAAGCCGGAGGCCGACCTGCTCCTCCGTCGTCCTCGCATCCCCAAGAAGGACCGTCTGGCCAATTGGCGCCTCATCATTCACGCATATTTCTTCCTTGGTATCCTGGAGTCTCTGTGCGCAATGGCTTTGGCATACTGGTTCCTCCAGCGCAAAGGCATTCCTTTCTCGGCGATGTGGCTCACGTACGGCAACCTGCCCCCAGACATCGACCCGGATAATTTCAATGAGTTGCTCAATCAGGCTCAATCCGTTTACTTTTTCACGCTAGTCATCATGCGTAAGTGCCCTCACTGGTATCTTTTCCGGCGCATACTAAATTTCTCGTCCAGAATGGGGAAATCTGCTATCCACTCGTACGCGTCGGCTGTCAATCTTCCAGCACCCGCCAATCTTCAATCGCGCTACACAGAATCTGTATCTCTTCGGAGCGATGGCTTGCGCGCTTGGGATTGCTGTTTTCTTCAGCTACATTCCATTCTTCCAGAACGTATTCTTGACGCGTGGTGTTCCTGTCGAACACTACTTCCTCCCACTTGCGTTCGGCATTGGTATTGTGAGTTTCCTATCAACTTGTGAGGTTCGTATCGCTCACGTCCTCTCAGCTCTTGATTGATGAGTGCCGCAAATACGGTGTTCGGAAGTGGCCGAAGGGTATTCTTGCTTGGGTGGCCTGGTAACACAAGTGTTCGCTGGTGTGCGTGTCAATTGTGAAGATACGCATAATCCAGCAGCTTTCTCATCCCTTCGCTCTGCAATCTATCCTATCCATAATAGACAGGCTGTCGAGTGTACCACGTTCCTTTCCTTACGAAGAAACCAACAAAGATCTAGCATTTTATTGCGTTGAAGAGTGAGGACCGTCAAGGAAATCATTGTGGAAAATAATCTTGGGCGCTGAAATTCACGTGCAAAGTACTGGTGTCAATTGTGAATTTCCCACAGTTCACCAGAAGGGGAGAGAGAGCCATCAGGATTCGTCTGAATCGGCGCTTCCATGTCGGGACATTTTTAGGGTCCATGACCGGTGGAAGCAATTAGGTTCCATAGGGAGCGGATGTATTAAGATTTGGTTCCTTACTTCCGTGGACAGCCACTGGACTCCGGTAACTCCGTTAACTCCGGTAATTCTGGTATAACTAACACTGGTAACTCCGGTAACTCCGGTAACCTCATTAACTCTGTTAATGCTCGTAATGCTGGTAACACTGGTAATACTAGTAATCCCAGTAATGCTATTAACACTGGCAACACTCATAATACTAGTAATATAGTTATGCTATTAATAGTGATAATACTACTAAAATATTTAGTGATAACTATATTACTCATATTAAGACTAGTAATATAGTTAATGCTGGCAATGTGTTAGGGCAACACAGGCTGACTAAGTCTGCTCACCTAAGAGTGCCAAGAGTCTAAGCAGGCAACAAGGAAGTGGAGTATACCTGATGACTAAGACCTAGTATAGGTACCTGTGGATGATCCTAAGAGACAGTCCCCAGGCAGAGTAGGCCTTATCTGTTAG